TACCAGATCACAAAATGAAAAATGACTACATTATTGTATAACTACCATATTGCATCATTACATACCTGCCAAATTATATCACTGCACAACTGCTAACTCACCTCATTATTTAACTGCCAAACTACTGAGAATCATGCCCCAGGCATGTTGACACATAACGAACCATCACAGCCAATGTTACTCTGGCCTTATTACTTGGCATTTATTACTTCCAGATGTAAATTCTTAAATAGTTGGAGAGATTTTTTTTAACTATCGTCTTAAATGTGAAATTTTAGATGAGTTAGTTGATAAAATAAAGAGTTAATTTATTATTACTCATGATTATTAATGAAAAATTACACAAAATTATCATAATAACCTTAATTTGGATAGTCTAAGAAATGCTTTTCTTATATGTCGCTTTGGCTAATCTTTGCAAAACAAACACAGACATGCTTCTCTAGTTAGCCTAACAACTCTACAATGGAATTTCAGTCTTCTGACAGTTCATTAAAAATAACTACAAACACCACAGCCTGCTAAGGAAAAAAAATCTTTGTGGAACTCTTTGATTTTTCAGAACCAGATGAACCATGTAAATGACACTCTGTGATGTTTTCTTTGCTTTGTTTTAATAGCAGCTTATTTAGATATAATTCATATAGCACAAAGTTTACTCTTTCAAGTTACTCAACTCAGTGGATTTTAGTGAACCCTCTCTGTCCTCTCCCAGCTCCTGGCAACGACAACTTTCTGCCTCTATGGATTTTCCCATTATAGGAATTTCATATAAATGAAAGAAAACAGTATGTGGTTTTCGAAACAACCTGGTACCGGCATAGCAATTCATGCACGGAACAATGGAATAGAACTGTACGTTGAGCTGGCAAAAGTTATATGACAGGTGTATTTACAAGAACAAAAAGAGTACTGCTGAGTTATGTATGTATAAGCAAAAAACTCACGGAATTTGAATTTTTTTTGTCTGGAAGTTTAGGGTCATAGTTTCAAGGGACAAAGTGGTTGATAAGTCTATTATGTGTTTAGTGCTTTTGTTCTACCTCTCAGTTCATTGAATATTGCCCGGGTTCTTAAACGTTTACAAGTGGCCACCAGGGGTACAAAATTGGTCTCTATTGACCTGGTGCAACTGAGGAAGGAGACGAATCAGGAATAGAAGGTTGTGGGATATACTGTAAATTGCTCTCTGAACAATGGTCTCCTTTGATGTGAGACCACAAGAACTGGATGGTGCCTGACTGTCACTGAATATTTTGCTCAGAGATCTCATAGAAGAATCCTGATCAGAATGGGGGAAATACAGAATTTCAAGTTCTCCTGGTCTTTAAGGTAAGATTCTCGTGTATTACAATTCTATGTACCCGGCAAGATGAAAGGTTGGTTAATCTCTAGGACAATCTTTAAACTGTAAATCAAAAATATTCTTTCAGTCTTCTTAAATTTAGCTTAATTGGTGAGAAATGTTTGCCTTGAGCATTATGCTCGTTTAAGATCTCTTCATCTCAGAAGATAAGATAGAAACTCGTGGCAGTGGATTTATGTAGTGGTAAGGAAACTATTTCAGAAAAGGGGTGGGAACGGTCACACAATTTAAAGTGGGCAATCTGTCACTAAATGACACAAGTAGAAATTGTCAAATTTGTGTCTATTTGCTGAGTATACATACTCCTAGCAACAACAACAAAAGAAATTAAAAACAAACAACTTACCCTTCTTGTGGATGCCATCTTCCACTTCACTCAAGTCAACACCATTAACCGTTTGTTTAGCCCATTGCTGTGTTTCCCGCGTTGAGCCTCCCCACTTTGCCAAACTCCAAAGTCTGTTCCTTTTGGTAAGAAAGTCTTTGTTTTTGTTTTCTTTTCCTTTATAACAGGGGTCTCATCTATATGTGTCCCTTTGTGATTGGCTGACTTCACTCATTCTAATGCCCGTCCATGTTGTGGCTTCATCACCTTTTTTATGGATGCATAGTATCTCATTGCGTGTATGTAGCAACGTTTCTTTCTTTCTTTTTTTAATTAATAAATCATTTTATACGGGGCTCTTACAGCTCTTATAACAATCCATACATCCATTGTATTGTATTAAACACATTTGTACATATGTTGCCATCATAATTTTCAAAACATTTTCTTTCTGCTTGAGCCCTTGGTATCAGCTCCTCTTTTTTCCTCTCCTGCCCTCACTCTCCCATTAGAGATCGTAAATCTCTAATAAATTATAAATTATTATTATTTTCATATCTTAACACTGTCCGCTGTCTCCCTCACCCACATTTCTGTTGTCCATCCCCCTGTGGGGGTGGGGGGGTGGTCAGCAATGTTTCTGAATCCATTCTCTTACTGATGTGCATTTAGGTAATATCCATCTTCTTGCTATTCGGAACAGTGCTGTGATGAACGTGGGTGTGCCTCTGTCTAGCCATGCTAGGCTCTTCTTTAGGACATACACCTAGCAGAAGGACTGCTGGATCGGATGGAATTTCCTATTCCTCTTTCTTTGAGGTAGGGCCATATCATTTTCCACAGTGGTTGAACATATTCAAAGTGCCAAAAGCAGTGTCTGAGGATTCTAGTCTCTCTTTAGCCTCTCAAGCATTTATTATATCCTGGGGTTTTTTGAAGATGGTTGTCATTGGCAGTGTCCGTGGAAAATGGTAATGCCCAGGAGGGAGAAGGGAAATCAAGGAGCAGGAAAGGGCTA